AACGTAAGCAAAAAGCCGGGAACAACACCAGCCCAGCAACAGCGAGTGGGGCTTCGACAGGCCATAAAGTAGAATAATAACTCCCGGGGTCAGGGGACACAAGAAGAAGCAGGCAGACAAAAACCAGAACTGACTCCAAGGTTCAACCGCCCTCACCTACTCAGGGGTGACGGAAATTAATGAGGCCTTGAATTAACGGCAGGCAACAACAACGGCGAGCAGAGATAGGGTGGGGCAAAGACTGCGGGCTATGGAATGCAACTTCGTGTCAGTAAAGCCCTGACAAACAAGTTAAGTTAAAGACATCACAATACATAATATCGCACATAACATCAATGTTAACGCTATTCACCGTAAACTATATTCCGCTTATATAACCATCCAGGCACCAAGGAATACGAATTCCTAGGATCAAGAAACTTACCCCTTAACCTAAGATATCGGGAATAAATTAATAGTAATAAGTATATGCATGAAAAGACAAAGTAAAACTTATGAAAAGCCAGGATAACGGGATGAATCACAACCAGGTCGAATATAATACATAATAAAAAAAAAAACGATGTTAAACCCAGGGTCGGAGAGAAAGGGAGATCCCGGCCGTCTTTGTATCCCCGCAGCGCGGGATAGGAGTGTGTATACGCTCGGGGAAACCTACACTTGAGTCAAGCACCACGATGGGAAACGACAGACCTTAGGTTACATACAGAATCATAACTGTGAAATAGTAAGGGACAAATGTTAACTTAAAACTTTTAACCATTTCTTTGTGCGCCGGGTCGGAGAGAGTGTTGCCCCCCTCCAGGTTGTGCAACACGAACAAAGACGCCTATGAGACGATTTGTAACGTCTGTGTTTTGGGTTCATGAAGAAGGCCAGACAAGAGATAAATTGCACCCAGACAGAGAGACGACTTCGAGACAATTTGTAACATCTGGTTGTTTGCTCGTGGGTTTTATGGAGGGAGTTGACAACGGAATATACCGTCAGTGATGCACACAAGGACATACGGACACACACATGGACACACCTGCCTACGGACAGATCCTGACACAGCAAAAATCGGAAGCCCCGCCTTGTGGGCGGGATCCAGGGGGATTTTTCAGCATAAAGGAACGGATCCTGAACATTGGAAACCAGTGCGACGGGAGGGTCCACTCAGAAGCTCGACCGGGAGGGTCGACTCAGGAACGAGTGCGACCAGAGCGGGTCCACTCAGGAGTGCGACCAGAGAGTCGACTCAGGAGCGAGGGCGACCAGCGGGTCGACCCAGGAGCGAGCTCGACCGGGAGGGTCGACTCAGGAGCGAGCTGCGACCAGCGGGTCGGCTCGACTCATCTTCAGCTCGTCAATCTCTGCTGCCGCCGGAGATCTCCGCTGCCGCCGGTGGTGAGCGTCGCGACTTGGCGACGATCCAGCGCTGCACGCTACGAGCGAGTTGTGGGCGCCACCTACCGACCGGGTTCCGAACTGCGACAGCGTATCAACAGCCATCCGAGCAATTCACCACGGTGACAGGGGAGCGCCTGATACGTATGACGCGCACCGCCCCCTCACCACACGACCACCAGGCGTCTGTTGACATAAAGAATCGACTCCGAACACTGACTATTCAAGACAACTCTTACCACTCAAACACACTCGAACCCATAAGTCATCCGTGGCTGGGAAGGCATCACAACGAGACCGAGTGGTGGCCATCCGTCGTATAAGAGTATTCTTAATTTTTATCTTTAATATTTAGTGGGCTGTACTCTTAATCGCATAAATTCCCAACAGATCCATCAATACGAACTGATTCTTGGCACCTCCTTCCGCCGAGCCACGCTCACGTGGGGAGTGGTGGCCCACCGGATCCTTATCAGGTGATCTGGTCCCCAATTAGTAAACTTGGTATAAGATAACGATCTTCGGAAAAGGAGCACCGTCGCAGGCCCTTACTCCGAGCCGTTCTGCTGTCAGATAACCTGCCGATGTATCTGTTGAGATTGGTGCCTTTAAGAATAATAACTGTTTTTGATTGTGTTTTTTTATCGCCGTATAATCTTTCAAGTATCTTTCAGTCATAATCGCCGCACGTACTCGCATCCTCTACAGAATATTCAACTGTTCCGTGACCCAAGGTGTTAACAACGTGATAAGGGTTGCGTATGATCAATAAGGAGTGCGGTACTGCGTGAACAATATTGAGTATAATCATTCATTAACGTTAAGGTTTTCTTAGCATAGTATTTGCATGTTTTAACGACTCTCTCTCTCACTAACAACCATCGCGTTATGCGGGATCCATGTGCCGTTGTCAAAGTGAAATCAGACAATCGTTGATGATACTGTATTGATGCCGTATTGACGTTCCGGGATTGAGAGTTCGCATACTATATCATAGTTAAGGTTGAATTAGTAATAAATTGATCAATACAGAAGTGGTTGTGTGATTCTTTCCTGAAATCTATGCATAAGATCTGCTTCTGCGTTGAGATTTGAACTTGGTGACCTTAATAAACACACTAATACATACTCAGTAAATGTTAAAGCGATAACGGGGTGAACCGGGGTCTGGTTATCATAACGACTTGCGTTATCATAATTACACCCACTCGCATAATTAATACGATTACCTCTCGAATTGGCATAATTAAAATGTGCGTAATTACATAATTAACATATTTCCGGATAATTACACATTTGGCCAAATTTCATTAATTATTATTATTTCCACTGAATATTCATAACCCACACATACAACATAATAATTTCACCCACGCACGCATACAACATAACAAATTTTCATACCCAACATATACAACACCACCCACCCCCTCTTGCCCTACAAGTTGAGCAACTCCGAGTTTCACCGGGAGGTGGGGGGGGGGGGCACTAAATAGCGCGGGGGAATGAATCTGAGAGATTAAAACGAGAATATGAGCCCCCCCCCACTCTCCTCCCACAGCCCCCACACCTTCTACCTCGCACTATATGAATTCTCAACAATTTAGGTGACGGACGCCACCGCTTTGCGATGTTTAAACAGAACCCCTGGCTGCTCCCAGGGCCCCCTGGCTACCCCTGGCTACCCCAGGGCCCCCTGGCTACCCACTGGCTGCCCCCAGGGCCCCCTTGCTGCCCCCAGGGCCCCCTGGCTGCCCCCAGGGCTCTCTAGCTGCCCACAGGGCCCCCTGGCTGCCCCCAAGGCCCCCTGGCTGCCCCTAGGGCCCCCAAGGACCCCTAGGGCCCCCTGGCTGCCCCCAAGGCCCCCTAGCTGCCCCCAGGGCCCCCTGGCTGCCAGTAAGACCATTGTTCCGCGTGGGTTTCTCTAATCGCGGTTTCTAAGCTCAAGAACCATAAAGGGCCCACAGCATCAAGCAGCCCGCAACAAACAGCGCGGAATGTTTCCTTCAGGGGTATAAATGTCCTTCACGACGACTACTACAGTACTACTCCTACGAGTGACGAGAATGAGTCCAATTATAACGGATCGAGAGTCAGATTGTCAGTTACAGTTATGAGTGTGGCTGGGCTTTACGGCCCGACTTGTCCATTGTATCCTGGAGGTGTTCACGACGCCCAGGTTGGTGGACACCGAAGGCTCCCCGCACGCACGGCTCCACGTGTTTTGGAGTTAGGATGGAGTCAACACCCGGCCGTGACAACGCCGAGTTGACGTTGACTATAATTCAGTCGCGACTATGATGATGATGTTAATGACGATTACGTGGGGAGGATGCTGAGAGTGCGGGGACGCTAATGCTGATGATAGTGGGGAGGAGCGGAAGTCGAACGGCCAGCGCGTTACGAACCCGGCGACCCGAGTTCGTTTCCCGCCCGCGGCCAACACCACCAGTGACGATTATCTGAATCGGTCCTGGACTTCCCATTAGCCGACTCAGCCTCAAATAAGTACATGGTGAGATGTGTAAACATCGCCACTGGGGATACAAAGGCGGCTGGGCGTGGTGTTGGCCACCCACCCCTTAGTGTGCCGTGCCAGCCTTCATAGGTGCTCGCTAACAGCACTTGCCCCAGCAGTCTGGTGAAAGCTACATGGGAGATCTTTGTCTTTTGTTTGAGTTTGTCTTTGGTGAGAACAGAAACCTCACGATTGTATTTTTTTTAACGTTTTGGTGAGAGGGGTGAATGTTGTTGATGGTGGCGGCGGTGGTAGTGGTGGTTGTGGTAGTTGGTGGTGGTCGTGATGATGATACTTTGATTGGGACACGGAGGTTCTTTATTGCCGACAGGTACACTCTCATTTTTCCAAAATCTGAAAGTTGTGGAACCACCCAGTTTCGTCTCTTGGCATCTCAATTCTGCCATCTCTGTTCTCATGTAAACTGACTATTTTAAAATCACTAAGGTGGATGTGTAAATAAAAATGTACAACATAATTAATATTCTTAATATTCTTCTTGGTTCTTTCGGTAAAGTCACGTTATTTTTATTATTTTATTACTTCCCTTCTACGTGACTTTACCGAAAGAACCAAGAAGATGAATCCCTGCAGTCACGAAAGCTTTAAATCGAAATATAATTAATATTATTATTAAATTTTTATTTTATAATCTCTAATTGTAGAATGCTTTGATGTTGTCTGCCGGCCGAGTCGGACCCTTAAAAAAATCTTCTTAACTCAATGGGCTTCACTCGTGAAGTAAACTTCTGACTTCTGATTCTGAAACTTCATCATTCGTTGGCAGTGTTGAAGTGAGCACAATAAGAACACAAATCAACGACGTTTAAAAAAGACTTAGAGTCGACGTTTCGGGAAATGGCCCCTTTTTAAAGTAGAGCCATCATAATGTTGGGGTTTGCGGGAGGGTTTCCGATGGGGTTCGGGTGGTGACGTTGACGATGGGGAGAGATGTGGATAGTTGTGATGCCTCCCTTGGGAAACTTTCATCGTTTTCTGATTTCGCTCAGCGCATTCACGAATGCGCGTGTGTGCAATGTGACTGCTGTTAGGAGCAGGGTCTGGGCGGAGTGGGGGGGGGGGGGTCACTCACCGACTCCGAATGCTTGGAACCCGCGCCGTTGTGGGTCTTCGTGATCGCGTCCATCTCTGAGTCTCCGCGTTCTCAGTGACCGATGTCAACTCTCTATCTCGATTTATCCGGAACTCTCCCCGTCTCGCTCTTCCCTGTCACTCTCGCTGTCTCTCTCTCTTCTCTGTCACTCTCGCTGTCTCTCTCTCTGTCTCTCGCTCTTCCCTGTCACTCTCGCTGTCTCTCTCCCTCTGTCTCTCGCTCTTCCCTGTCACTCTCGACCTCTCTCTGCGATTCATGTCGAGCGCTCCCGCGGCCCAACTTTTATGGGATCCGTGGAACAACAACAAATCTCGCGTGGGGTGCGGGCACGGCCAATCAGAGCGCGAGAGGGGGCGACGCCCACGGGGGGTGATGATCGGGGTGTTGAGTGATGGTGATGTGATGGGTGAAGGTCTGCCGGTGTCGAGATGTCAACTACCTCGCCTGGTATACAGGAGGACGTGGGTTCGATCTCAACCCTGACGCCTGCTGTATACTTGGAGTTTGCGTGTCTCTCTCTTTCCCCGTGGTCGCGTGGGTTTTTCTCCGGGTCCTGCGGTATTTCACTCCAGATTTAGAAACTTGCGTTTAGAGTATTTGGCTGCTATGAATGTCCACGTGAATAGCCACTTCGTCGAGCTGTCACGTGTGGCCAGGTCGCTTCGGAAAAGAGCTACGCAGCTCAGTGGGCCTTGCCTGGTGAAATAAGACGAATTGTTTAATCTCGTTTATCTCTCACAGTCTCACGATGAAACAATTCACCCGACACCTGCGCACAACCGTTGTCGTCGCTCCATCTCCGCGGCGGATGTCCCTCTCGGATGCGTTTCTCTCCTTTGGCTGTCACTCTGCCAGTAGCTTCGACCACAGCCATCGTCCCGCCAGCGACGCGTCGTCTGCCCAAACCCTCGCACCTTCCTGCACTCTTACTGATGGCGTTGCTGTTCGCGCGCGTGTTCCCGCGTTCCTTTTCTGTCCCCCATTTGCAATCCCGAGCGTACCTCTCGCCGTGATTCTTGGCGCACTTCTTAGTGTTGTGATCCGTCCTCTTCGTCAGTGCCCGCGGTGCTGCTCCACGGGTCACGCGTCGCACTCTGGGCGCTTTGGAAAAGTCGCTTCGCACGATCCACGCTCAGTTTTCCACTCCAGCCGTCTCCCAGGCGCTTCCATATCTTCCCAAACTGATCTCTGCCCGCCTTCAATCACTGCCCGTGGATGGGGGAAGCTGGGGTTAGATGGGGCCGGGGGGGGGCGTGTTCCCCCATCGTGTTTCCCCGACAAAAATCACTGTGAGCCAACGATGCGCGTCGCCTGTGATTGCTGTGGGTAACGAGAGATGGTGTCGGTCGTGCGCGATGGGTCACGGTGATGTTGGTGGCGATAAATGGTGGTTGTGGTGGTGGGCGATGCGCGATGGGTGGTGGATGATGTGGATGTTGGTGATGGGTGGTTGATTGCGTTGTAATATGCGCCGCTGATGTTGATGTTGGGATCGGATCGCTGTGAACTCTCTCTTTGTGATTACGCCACGGCGCGTGAGCAGCGTCCGCATGACTCCTGCACGGGGGGCGGGGGTTGAGCCCACTCGCCAGCCCCCGCTATCGCGACTCCCCCCGTGGGAGCCCCTTTCGGGGTCCCGGTCATCACCACGGACTCTGACCGAGGGGTTGCCTCACTCTTCGGACGGGGGACCAGGGTCGGGGGCTTGGCGGCCGCATCCCCTTGGTGTGAGCGGTGGCGAGTGGAGCTCGGAGTGGGCGCGGGGTTGGTTCTGTGACTGCGAGCAATGCGACACTCCACATTCAGACCGCGTGGTTTTCGAGAATCAAACTCATTGGGTTTCTAATAATTTCCATACGATCTCCGTGGCTGATAAAAGATGAATACCACTTTTTAAGGAAGTCGAGTGGTTGTTATACGAAAGGACTGCCCCCCTCCCCCCGTCATAAGAATGTGAAATTTCCATCATTACATTCCCATGGACGGGTTCAGAGGCAGTAGATGCGTGAACTCGGCGTTGTCGTCCGCGTGGTATTCTGTTAAACAATGCGACATCGATGCGTCGTGACGCGTGTTCTTGCCGAGGAGTGGCGTTGCCCTTGAACATTCCGGCTGAATATTGAACGCTGGGTTCAATATCGGATCGCGTGGACCGTGCGTCCACGTATCTACTGATTGTGCCCCGATTCAGAAAACCCCACACTCGCATTGTATCTGTGCTGCTGCTGCTGTTGCTGCTTTTGTTGCTGCTATTGTTGCTGTTATTATAGTTGCTGCTGTCTGTTGCTGCTGTTGTTGCTGCTGCTGTTGTTGCTGCTGTTGTTGTTGCTGCTGCTGTTGTTGCTGCTGTTGTTGTTGCTGCTGTTGTTGCTGTTATTGTTGCTGCTGTTGCTGTTGTTGCTATTGCTAATGTTGTTGCTGCTGTTGTTGTCGCTATTGTTGCTGATGTTGCTATTGTTGTTGCTGTTATTGTTGTTGTTGTTGCTGCTGCTGCTGTGTACGACCGAACCGGCCGCATGCGCTCACAGCTCTGGCCGTGGCCCGCAGCGCCGCTCACTCCGGCGCCAGGGTCCCCCTCCCGCCGTGTTCGCTTCGCGCATCTGAAGTTGCAGTCGTTCTCCTCCCGCATCCCTCTGGCGTCTGACGCCGATCTCCACCCCAAGCGCGCGCAGGAGACGCGCCCCCTCGGGATGCCGCCCTCACGCAGAGCCCTGGCGGCCAACACTCGCGTCGCGACCAGAACGCGCATCACGCGGTCCTTGACCACAGATCACGTGGCCCGTCAGAACAAAGACCTCCTCGTCCAAGACCCAAACAATGCCCAACATTGCGGCTTTATTCCTCCTCCTCGACGACACTGGTGGAACCGCCAACCGCATCAGAACAGCAGCGAGGGTTGGTGGATCACCGCACCCAGTTGTGGCGAACTCTCTTCTCGTGGTCGACGAGACGGTGTCGTACCCTGGCTCACCAGCAGAAGGCAGTACAGCAAGTTGACTCATCGCCATCTGTTTCCATCTGTGCGGGGATGGAGTGTTTCCCCTTGCGCAAGACGTGGGGTTTTCTCCGAGTTCTCAGGCTCCCTCCCCACGTGACCAATAAACACGGCTCGTCACTCATTGGCTGCAGACTTCTTAAAGTAAAAAGCCAATGTAGCAGCACCCGACTGCAAACGAGTCCGAAGACCCAAGGAGTGTGGCTCTCGTGGTCAAATAAGTCAAGAGTATACATAAGTGAACTTCCTATAAAGTAACAAAGGTCGGCCACTCGGGGCGGGCTCGATCTGGCGCGACCGGACGCGGCGCGGCGTCGTCGAGGCGCCGTGCGCTCTGCGGCCGCACGCCGCCTCTCCACGGCCAGCCGCGAGCCAATGGTGCATATTCCACATTCACATGGCGGGTGCGAGTTAGCCCATAAGACTCCCACTGTTGACTTCCCCACAAAGTAGAACGTATTGTTTTATCGACCCCAGGAGGGATGATTGGGTGAGCCAATCCTCTCTCAGCCAGGATTAATCTCGCGAACTTTCCGATTGTGAGCCTCTCACTCTACCGCGGAGTCACCAGATAGGAGAGAGAGAAATGTACAGTATAAGAGTGATACGAGATTTGAGAGAGATTTGTATTAGAACGGTACGAGATATGAGAGAGGTAGGAGAGACGCATGCAGAGGATATGAGACGTATGAGATAGAATCGGAAGAGACGCTGAAAGTTGGGAGATGCATTCAGAAGAGTCGCCTGGTCCCTCTCGCACATCGACCCAGAGAGATGATGGAATGTTCCCGGTCGGGTCGCTTAAAATGCGAAATGGAATCGCCCGCTGCTGGAGAAAGGCCCTCCCCACGCCGCGTCGGCCGTGGCGGTTGTCTGACCATACTTCCCCACGCTGGTCTGTGTGGGGGTCGTCACGTCGCTTGGGTGACAGCAGCAGCACCGCAACTCGATCGGTGTCCCTGTCCCGACGTCACGGCTCGCGATGCCGCACGCGGCTCAATCGCTTTGATAATCACTTACCACTGCTCCATTGATGGTGTTATAGTTAATGGGGTTGCTTAATTGCTCTGATAGTTAACGCAAGCGATATTTGATAATCTGCTCGTTAATTTGTCGAAGTGCTCTCGGAGTTTACTCGTGCTGCGGTGCGATCGCCTCGTGGGTCTCCGCGCGCCCCCTCGCGTCTCCGCTCCGCGTCTTTCCCCTCGACCCACGCGCCATGGCGAGCGAGGGTGATGCACGCCCCGCTCCCCCCCGCCTCTCACGGGATCGACTTGGAGAGTTGACGCCGCGAGACCCCAGAGGCGCGGAATAAATGGTGACCTCGTCAGCAGGGGGCAGCAGTGGCGCGCAGGAGATGGATGGGGTAGAGGTTGTGGTAGGAGTCGGGGGGGGGGGGGGTAGAGTTAGGGGTAGGGTTTGAGTTCGGGGTAGGGTTAGTGTAGAGTTAGGGGTGGCATTTAAGAGTAGGGTTAGGGGTAGAGTTAGGGGTACGGTTGACTGAGATGACTGACAGATGCACCATCTGTGGTCAACTTTACGTGCCAATTCGCTGTATTTTATCCGCCTGACGCTCCACTCGTTGTTGTGAGCATCTCTTTCATCTGCCCACCAATGTTGTTGGAGGGCGACTGCCTACAACTCCCCAACAGCGTCCTTGACGAACCTCCTCTACAGAGGCCGATCTTGACATTGATTGTACCAGTTATCGGCAAGTCCACTCAGTTCCACATTCTTCTGAACCGTGTCAGTCCATCTCTTCTCCAGCCCGTGTCAGTCCATCTCTTCTCCAGCCCGTGTCAGTCCATCTCTTCTCTAGCCCGTGTCAGTCCATCTCTTCTCTAGCCCGTGTCAGTCCATCTCTTCTCCAGCCCGTGTCAGTCCATCTCTTTTCCAGCCCGTATCAGTCCATCTCTTTTCCAGCCCGTATCAGTCCATCTCTTCTCTAGCCCGTGTCAGTCCATCTCTTCTCCAGCCCGTGTCAGTCCATCTCATCTCTAGCCCGTGTCAGTCCATCTCTTCTCCAGCCCGTGTCAGTCCATCTCTTCTCTAGCCCGTGTCAGTCCATCTCTTCTCCAGCCCGTGTCAGTCCATCTCTTCTCTAGCCCGTGTCAGTCCATCTCTTCTCTAGCCCGTGTCAGTACATCTCTTCTCCAGCCCGTGTCAGTCCATCTCTTCTCCAGCCCGTGTCAGTCCATCTCTTTTCCAGCCCGTGTCAGTCCATCTCTTTTCCAGCCCGTGTCAGTCCATCTCTTCTCTAGCCCGTGTCAGTCCATCTCTTCTCTAGCCCGTGTCAGTCCATCTCGTCTCCAGCCCGTGTCAGTCCATCTCTTCTCCAGCCCGTGTCAGTACATCTCTTCTCCAGCCCGTGTCGCACCCATCAGCCTCATCTATCCAGGACTGTGCGCAGACTTTCAAGGATCTGCGAGCTTCTCGCATAATCTCGTCAGGTTTAAAGCAGGATGGATCGTAGGCAGGTCCGCCTGAATGTTTAAAACCGACGCAGATGTTCTTTTAAGGGGGTCCACCTTGCGCAAGCATAGATAAGAGAGGGCATGTTATAACTGTGGCTGAGAAGACCCAGACAGCTTCTACACAGCGTTATGCAGCCGAAGCATTTATACACACGCATACACAAAGACAACGATCTCCTGTGTAGCCTGCATCTGCTCTCTCAGCAAGTTCTGCACGCGAGGGCCGGCACGGCACACCAGGGGGTGTTTTACACTCCACACCAAGTACTAATTTAAGGCTGAGTCGACCTAGGGCAACGAGGCCCAGGATCGCTTCAGATAATCGTCACTGGTGCTGGCCGTGAGCGGGAATCGAACCCGAGTCGCCGGGTTCATAGCTCAGCGCGCTAACCGCTACACCACCGCTCTCCACTACACACACACACGTGTACACACACACACGTGCACACACACACATACACGTGCACACACACACGTGCGCACACACGTGCACACACACACACGTGCACACGCTCACAACCTACACACACAGTCTGACGAAGCATTCACTTTGCGAAGGGCGACAGCGAATGGACAATAATCGCCCCGAGTTAGCGGCCTCCGTGTGTAGCGCTGCGTGGCGCGCGCGTGAACGCCGACGCCGCTCTCTGGCTCCTGAGGTTTCCGTCGGCTCGGGGGCTCTTGCAGCCAGACCGAGGCATGGCCATTGTCGCGGAGAGTCGCGGATTACGGAGCGCATAGCGCATGATACTCGAGAGGGCGCAACGCGCAATCTCATCAACATCGGCGTGACCATGAAACCAGGAATGTCATCATGATACACGTCGACATCATCGTCATCATCACCGCTCTCATCGTCATCATAATTATTATTATCACCACTAACATCAAAACTGTCATTAAAACTACATCATGACTATCATCACCACTATCATCCATACTAATAATAAAAACTATATTATGGATGATACTGGTCACGAAAGCCTACGTGTTAAAATCACCACTATAAAGATCACCACTGTCATCGTCACCATTACCATCATCACCATCTCCATCATCACTACTATCATCATCACCACCACCGTCATTATAAGAACTATCAGTGTCACTATCATCATTAACGCAATCGCCACCATCATGATCATGAACATCATCATCGTCATCATCACCGCCACTGCCTCCACCATCACCGCGGACTCCACGGATCCGCTCCGCCGCCCCCGCTAGCCCCCACCCTCTGCTCCTCGTGCACGCGCCGCGCGCTCCCCCGACTCCCCCGCCCCTCCCCACTCCCCCGACCGCCCCTCCCCTCGCTGTTTGTCCGCACTCGAGTGGCACGCGCCTGGCGCGCGCGTGCGGCCCCAGTGTCAATAGGCGACACAAAGCGGGCGGGTGTGGCCCGGGGTGGTGGGAGGGGGAGCGGAGGGATAGAGGCGGGGGGGGTGAGTCCCTCGCGCTCAAAACCTCGCCCCGGGGACCGTGCGCGCTTAATGCGCGGGAGACGGAGACAGAGACAGAGAGAGACAGAGACAGGGTGAGACAGAGACAGGGTGAGACAGAGACAGGGTGAGACAGAGACAGGGTGAGACAGAGACAGGGTGAGGCAGAGACAGGGTGAGACAGAGACAGGGTGAGGCAGAGTGAGACAAGCCACCCGAATAGAGCGAAGCAGAAGGACGAGCAGAGGAAGATTCTGCGACACCGAGACAGAGAAGCCACCTGCTGCATAGAGCCGAGTCGAGAGGCAGCAGCGGCAGCAGCAGCGGCAGCAGCAGCAGCGGCGGTGGCCCGGCCAGGTGAAGAGGGCAAGAAAACCTCGCCGCGTTGTTCCAGCTACTCTGACAGCAGCACAGGTTGGCTGCTGTCCACCCCGGCGGTCCCCGTTTCCCACTGGTAACCTCCGAGTCCACCTCCGAGGCCACCTCCGAGTCCACCTCCAGAGATGTCCGTGCAAGTGGCTCCTCCCTGCGCGTTCGCGCCCGCGGGTCCCATGATGAGCCTCATGGCTCCGGGCTCCCCGCACGCGGGGCTCGCGTCCCCCGCGTCTCCCGCGGCGACTCCGGCGCGAAACCCGGGCGCCGGCAGCAGCAGCAGCAGCAGCGGCAAGGGGCGCTCTGGCAGCAAGAAGCACCACAACCACCTCCATCACCACAACCACCATCGCCACCACCACAACAACAGCCACCACCACCACCGCGCCTCGTCACCCGAGCTGTTACGGGTGAAGAGGCGACACCCCTCGGGGGGGCTGGGGGGGTGCTTGGGGCTCCCGGCGCCCGCGTCCGTGGCGCGTCGCAACGAGCGGGAGCGCAACCGCGTGCGGCTCGTCAACATGGGCTTCGCGGCGCTGCGGGAGCGCGTCCCGGGAGCCGGAGCGGCCAAGAAGATGAGCAAAGTGGAGACGCTGCGCTCCGCCGTGGAGTACATCCGCGCGTTGCAGCACCTCCTGGAGCGCGGCGACGGGGCCGCGCGCGCCGCGCTGCGCGCCGCGATGCCCGCCCACGGCGGAGACTGCGCCGCGCTCTCTGCGCTCGAGCTCTGCTGCTCGTCGTCGTCCGTCGCCTCCCCGCTCTCCTCGTCCGGCGCCTCCTCCTCCGAGATGGCGTGCGGCTCGCTCAGCCCCGACGACCACGACCTGGCTGCAGACTTTGCCGCCTGGTTCTGAGACTCGAGAGAGACAGAAGGGAGAGAGAGAAAGACAGAAGGGACGGGGGCGAACGTGGAGTTCCCTTGCAGAGAGGGCGGATGATGAGTCCAGGAGGAGCTCCCCCCCCACCATTCCCTGTTCCCCGCTGAGTGAAATGATCACCTGCACAGAGACGATGCGTGAATAGCGCGTGTGACGAAGCGGAGGGGGGATGCGAGAGACGGTTACCGAGTCTGACTGTGGACTCGTGAAAGCGTGAGAGAGAGCGTGTGAGAGAGCGTGAGAGAGAGTGTGAGAGAGAGTGTGAGAGAGAGAGCGTGAGAGAGAGCGTGAGAGAGAGCGTGTGAGAGAGAGAGCGTGTGAGAGACCGTGAGAGAGAGTGTGAGAGAGAGAGCGTGAGAGAGAGCGTGAGAGAGAGTGAGAGAGCGTGTGAGAGAGCGTGTGAGAGAGAGTGAGAGAGAGAGAGAGTGAGAGTGAGAGAGAGCGTGAGAGAGAGAGCGTGAGAGAGAGAGCGTGAGAGAGAGAGCGTGAGAGAGAGAGAGCGTGAGAGAGAGAGAGCGTGAGAGAGAGAGAGCGTGAGAGAGAGAGCGTGAGAGAGAGAGAGCGTGAGAGAGAGAGAGCGTGAGAGAGAGAGAGCGTGAGAGAGAGAGAGCGTGAGAGAGAGAGAGCGTGAGAGAGAGAGAGCGTGAGAGAGAGAGAGCGTGAGAGCGTGAATTCCTGAGCGACTCTTCAACCAGTCACGTGATTGTCTAAAAGTTATGTCACTCGTCGAGACTCGGGACGCCGAGCAGCGGGGGATCAGAGACCAGGAGTCGTGAAGCGGTCGCCGCCACCTTGGCAATGCTGTTACCCGGGAGGAGGGCCTCCCACGAACCCCCACGGACCCCCACGGAGCCCCGAGATTCAATATCTACCTTGCACCCCTCAGCCCCGATGTGTGTGACACTCATAGTCGCCGTCATGTCCATGAACACGAACGTCGGGGTGGCACGCGTGGGGGGTCGCTCCCCACGCGTGCCGCCCCGTTTGCCCGGGAGCGCGTCTCCTGTGCGTGTGACGCTGACAACAACAGCAAGAAGAAACGCAGGTCGAGTGGATAACATTCAGCGACTTGGCAAAGTGGGGAACACAGATGGGGGTATCTGCCAGTTATCTCAGTCAGTCAACTCTTAAATCTTGGGTCTGTCCCGTAACCTCCTGCCACCAGAGAAACTTCGATACTTCACGTGGCCTCAAGGTGCACCTAGCCTGGCACAAACGCCGTGGTGATGTCACCGCCACTTGGTGGCGAACGACGGTTGTTGTGAATGCATGCGTGTGTGCCGAGGTGTGTGAGTGTGGCGAGCGGTAGTGCAGCGACTAGCGCGCTGCGCTACCAACCCGACGGGCCGATTTCAAATCTTGCTCAGGGCCAACACCAGTTGCAATTATTTGCACCGGTCCTGGGCCTCCCGTAGGTCGACTCAATCTCAAATGAGGACTTGGTGCGGTGTGTAAACATCGTCACTAAGGAGACAAAGGCGGCCGGGCGTGGTTCTGGCCACCCACCCCCTCGTGTGCCGCGTCGGCCTCCATAGGTACTCGCTAACAGCACTTGCCCCAAACGTTTATTAAGGCTATACGGGGGATCTTTGTCTTTGCGAGTGCGCGTGTTTATGAATGCAGGGGGTCAGTTCCGTTAGCGAGCACCGCTTAAGCCAAAGCTACACTGGGGCAGGGGGGGTGGTTTGTGTTGAATGTGGCGCAGTTCCTCCCTGGGAACGAGCATCAGAATCACGTCGTGACGTTCACCTCTCTCGAGTCAGCCCTGAAAGATAATGTAACGCGGTGTACAAATATCAGCACGGAGAGACAAAGGCGGTCGGGCGTGTTTCTAGTCACACCGTGCTGGCATATTCGAAGGTGCTCGCTAAGAGCACCCAGACAGTCGGATACGGTTATAAGGGGGACCTTTGCCTTGACGTGCGCGCGTGTGTGTGTATATGAATCTATATATTTTGTGTATATGCATTTATAAAAAAACTATACTGCGGCGAGGATAGCACCGTGCCGGCCCCGAGCTGCCTCATGTACTTGACTATTTTATCTCATAAACTCTATTGAGAACTCTGTGAGTGGACGAGGTCTCTGTGAGCGAGCGAGGCCTCTGTGCGATTTAATAATAAATCACGCAACATCTCGCACACAGACACGCAGAGACACATAGACACGCAGAGACACAGACACACAGAGACACACAGAGACACACAGACACACAGACACACAGACACACAGAGACACACAGACACGCAGAGACACAGATACACACAGAGACACGCAGACACACAGACACACACAGACACACAGAGACACACAGACACGCAGAGACACAGACACACAGACACACACAGAGACACAGAGACATAGAGACACACAGAGACACACACAGGCACACACAGGCACACACAAAGACACACAGCCACACACAGACACACACAGACACGCAGAGACACATAGACACAGACACACACAGACACACAGAGACACAGATACACACAGACACACAGGGACACACAGACACACAGAGACACGCAGGCACACAGAGACACACAGACACGCAGAGACACACAGACACACAGAAACACACACAGGCACACATAGACACACAGAGACACAGATACACACAAACACACAGACCCACAGACACGCAGGCACACAGAGACACACAGACATGCAGAGACACACAGACACACAGACACAAAGAGACACACACAGGAACACATAGACACGCAGAGACACAGACACACAGAGACACACACAGACACGCAGAGACACACAGATACAGAGACATACAGGCACGCACACAGAAAGGCAGAGATAAACACAGATACACATTCAGATATGAAGACACATGCACACATACATGCAAATACAGTCATGCATGCATAAACCCACACAGATGCACATACGGAGACAAATATTCCCCATTAAGCCTGAAACAGACTGTTGGGGTAAGTTCTGTTAGCGAGCACCGATGAAGAACGACACGGCACACGAAGGGGTGGGTGGCCAGCACTACGCCCGACCGCCTTTGTCTCTCCCTAGTGGCGATGTTTACACACCGCACCAGGTACTCATTTGAGTCTCAGTCCACCTAGGAAAGGCCCAGGACCGGTTCAGATAATCGTCACTGGTGTTGGCCATGAGCGGGAATCGAACTCGGGTCACCGGGTTCATAGCTGGCTAACCACTACACCACCGCTCCAGTTGGATACACAGACGCACACCTCTGAGCGCACCTACCGCTGGCGGCACCCGTGAGCGCGCAGGTGTGTACACGCGCACACACGTGCACACGCGTGCACAGTGTTTGTACACGCGCACACACGTGCACACACATGCCACGGCTGTGGCTGAGTGGGGCACCAAGGCGATGGGGGGGCTCGGAGCCACCGGGGTTGAAGGGCCGAGAGGGCCCAAGAGAGAAGATCTCCCTCCCCCCTTCCTCGCCACTCCTCCAGCTCGCACCCCACCACGCCCCCTCCCCTCGTCCCCGCTCCCTCGTCTACACCATCATTAAAATGATCACGTGGCCGCGCGTGATTAAATGAGGAGCGGGGGGGGGGTCGCCTCTGGGCGCGCCCCCCCCCACTCCTCCTCGCATCTGCAGGACGCACAATGGTCGTGTTGTGCCCAATGACACGGAGCGTGCGCGGACACACACACACGAACACACACACACAAACACACACACACGGACACACACGCACACACACACACGGACACACACACACGAACACACACACACGGACACACACGCACACACACGGGGACACACACACACATACACACACACACATACACACACAAGGACACACACATACACATGGGGATACACGGACACACACACATACACACATACACACACGGACACACACACATACACACAGGGACACACACACACATACACACACATACACACGGACACACACATACACATGGGGACACACACACACGGACACACACACATACACACATACACACACGGACACACACACATACACATGGGGACACACACACATACACACACATACACACGGACACACACACACACGAACACACACACACGGACACACACGGACACACACATACACACACGGACACACACACATACACATGGGGACACACACATACACACACATACACACGGACACACATACACACGGACACATTACACACATACGGACACATACACACACATACACACATACACACATACACACACACACGGGGACACACACACATACACACACACACACACACGGACACACACGCATACACACGGGGACACACATACAGACATACATACACACGGACACACACATACACATGGGGACACACACACATGCACACATACACATACGGACACACACACATACACATGGACACACACACACATACACACACAGGAACACACACACACACACGGACACACACATACACATGGGGACACACACACATGCACACATACACATACGGACACACACACATACACATGGACACACACACACATACACACACACGAACACACACACACACACGGACACACACACATACACACGGGGACACACACACATACACACATACATACACACACACGGACACACATACACATGGGGACACACACACACGGACACACACATACACATGGGGACACACACACATACACACACATACACACACATACACACACGGACACACATACACACGAACACACACACGGACACACACACATACACACACGGACACACATACACACACACGGACACACACACACGGACACACGGACACACACGGACACACACACGGACACACACACGGACACACATACACATACGGACACACATACACACACGGACACACATACACACGGACACACACGGACACACACACACGGACACACACACATACATACACACACATACACACAGACACATACACACACGGACAAAAAGACAAAAACAAAGATACCCCCTATAGCCTTAACAGACTGTTGGGGCAAGTGCTGTTAGCGAGCACCTATGAAGACTAGAACTGCACACGAGCAGGTGGATGGCCAGAACCACGCCCGACCGCCTTTGTCTCTACAGGGGCGATGATTACATATCGAACCAGGTACTCATTTGAGGCTGAATCGACCTAGGGGAGGTCCAGGACCGATTCAGATATTTTCCACTGTTATTGATCGTGAGCGGGAATCAAACTCAGGTCGCCGGATTCGTAGAGCAGCGCGCTAACCGCTGCACTACCGCTGCACTACCGCTGCACTACCGCTCCCCAAACCGCAACACACACACGGACACACACACAGACGTATGCACAGATGACTGATGCAAACACAGACGCACGCAGATGCTACACTTGCACGCCCCAAGTAATTCTAAGATCTGGATCTTGTCAGCGGCATCACCATCATCACGATCATCGTCACGAAGCGACGCATGAGGCACAAAGGCGCGCGCTGTCGGGCGGCGCGAGCCGGGAGGCGTCCTGACCCCACCGAGACCCCCACCCGGACCCCTACCGTGACCCAGAGCGGCCGCTCCCCATCCCCTTGTCTCCCCATCCCATCGTCTCCCACAGCATCGCTCCCAATCCGGTCAAAGCAAGTGTGGGAGCACACGCCGAGACATCGCGTAGGGGGACCCCTTCTGGCAGAGCCCCCAAGCAAACCCCCTTCCTCGGGATCCCTTCTGGCAGAGCCCCCGAGCGAGCCCTCTTCCCATCCCGGAGTCTCTGTAGTCACGGACGATCTGATGCAGCCACGAGGCGACGAGGCTGTGTCCGCCCCCTTGGCCTCCCCCTGCGCCCGCAGGTCCTCTGGGCGAGATACTCTGGGGGAGCGGCGTGCCCAGAGAGTCGGAGCTGGGGTCCCCGTGCCCTGCAGGCAGCGAGCCTCACCTTGCCCTCCCCCGTGATCCCCTGAGCGTCCCCGCACGGGAGGCACGGAGACACGGAGCCGCGTCCTTCTGCTAAGATAACGGCGACGCCAAACGCGCAGTGACTCCGAAGGCTCCTTTTCAGGCGCTTCCTGCTGGGATGTCTGGCCAGCTCTGTCCGACTGAATATTTGTTTGGATCGGTGTCGGTTGAAATCTGAGAGTATCCGAAAAAAACCCCACCGCGCACACGAGCAGACAACACAGCGCTGCACAGATGGATTAAATCCCTGTGCTGCTCTGCAAACTCCTCATGGTGATCCACCAATCATTATTTTAAAAGCGGGCTTGCCCCACCACTCACAGCGAGCTAGCGGGAGGAACATTGAACAGTGAGCGGATAGCGAGGCAGGGCTGGGTCAGGGCAGGGCTGCTGGGTCAGGGCATGGCTGCTGTGTCAGGGCACGGCTGGGTCAGGGCAGGGCTGGGTCAGGGCAGGGCTGCTGGGTCAGGGCATGGCTGCTGTGTCAGGGCACGGCTGGGTCAGGGCAGGGCTGGGTCAGGGCAGGGCTGCTGGGTCAGGGCATGGCTGCTGGGTCAGGGCAGGGCTGTGTCAGGGCAGGGCTGGGTCAAGGCAGGGCTGGGTCAGGGCAGGGCTGCTGGGTCAGGGCAGGGCTGTGTCAGGGCAGGGTTGTGTCAGGGCAGGGCTGTGTCAGGGCAGGGCTGCTGGGTCAGGGCAGGGCTGTGTCAGGGCAGGGTTGTGTCAGGGCAGGGCTGTGTCAGGGCAGGGCTGCTGGGTCAGGGCAGGGCTGTGTCAGGGCAGGGCTGTGTCAGGGCAGGGTTGTGTCAGGGCAGGGCTGTGTCAGGGCAGGGCTGCTGGGTCAGGGCAGGGCTGTGTCAGGGCAGGGTTGTGTCAGGGCAGGGCTGTGTCAGGGCAGGGCTGCTGGGTCAGGGCAGGGCTGTGTCAGGGCAGGGTTGTGTCAGGGCAGGGCTGGGTCAGGGCAGGGCTGCTGGGTCAGGGCAGGGCTGTGTCAGGGCAGGGCTGGGTCAAGGCAGGGCTGTGTCAGGGCGGGGCTGGGTCAGGGCAGGGCTGTGTCAGGGCAGGGCTGGGTCAAGGCAGGGCTGTGTCAGGGCAGGGTTGT